AATTGACAGCATCATCAAATGTTTTTAATTTATTTTGATGATAGCAGGAACAAAAAGGTTTGAAGTTTGCTTTTCAAGTCCACTTGAGGGCAAGAGGGAAAATGCATCAATTATTTAATTATGTATGTGTGCATATTTATGTCAAATGTAAAGTTTATAGTTACATAACCCCTGTTTCTTGCTTTATAGAAAATCCTGTTTGTTTCCTGTTTATGATCCAGAGTATGCAGCCAGCAGGATTGTGGATGCAATTAAAAAGGAAAAATTTTATCTGATCATGCCTCCAGCCGTATACGTACTTGGTCTGAAAATGTAAGCATGTGACTTGTCTTCTAACACTGCCTTCTTTCCTTTGCTATATACTTGTAAAATCAGCAGGAAAATTTACCAAAAGASTCCTTTAGTTAATATTCCTGCAGTCAACCCAATTATATGTACCCAATTTCAAAGAAACAGTGGGTTTGATTTTTTAATAATTTAGGTGAATAACATTCCTCTGGCCCCTTCTGTGTCTAAGGAACGTATTCATTTGCAGTTGGGTATGGAAATTTTCCAAAATTTTTCGTAAGGCAATACACTGGTAGCAATGCCTGGTCTAGCACTTTCTGCTTCCAGTCACTGCCTCCCCTGCAGGCTGGGCTTTCACAAAATGTCTTTCACAAATGTCATTTGTTTCCCCGTCTATAACACTGAAGCACCAAATGTATTATTGCCTGACATTAGAACTATTGAGCGCATGTATTATGTTTTTGTAATTTCTTTATTTATAGACTATTCTTTTCTAAAATATATATATATATATATATATATAAGGCTAACTCCATGTTTCTGTCATCAGTTTCCTGCCTAGAAAACTGGCACTATTCCTCGAGTCTTCCATTAAGTTCCCTGAGAGCATGGAAGAAGCCTTTGGTCAGAAGAAAAAGGWYTGAAACCAAAAGTAWTGTGAAGACCTCAAGTGCCATCRAATGGAACATTTTCAGTTAGAAAGCATTTCAAATTAGATTTATTCTTTGACAGAWATTTTGCTTCTTGTATGCTATTTTACATTATTCAGCCATTTAGTTCTTCAGAATTCTCTTTTATCTTTTTAAATTTGGCAATATTCTGAGTAACTTTTGAAAAATAAGTAACTTTTGAAAAATCTAACATTGTATAGGAATATGGTTAAGTGGCCAAGCAAAAACTTAGCATGGACTGTACTGTTTTCAGACCAAAACTTCAATGAGGGTTCCTGTTTATGAGTGTGGGACACAGTTCTGTTGTAAAACATAGGAAAAGGAAGTCAGGAGACATACCTCATTTATTCTTGGAAAATTATGGACAAAATCTCTTCTTATATTTGGAGAGAARTCACACCCAGTTCTTCAACTGTCTTTATGTGAAATTGCAACCTAAAGAAAAGAAAGCCCCCRCATACCGGAAGTTCAGAGATTAGTTACACAAAATAGATGCTGGTACTTAACTGATAAAAATCAATCCTCATGTAAATCTTCACAAAACGCCAACATTAAATGTGTTCATAATTGCCTTAATTTAAAAACAAAGAGATAAACTGCAGAGCAGAATAGTGAACCTACAAAGCCCTTTTTAAACTCTAAGGAATTACAGAGAACATTTAACAGTCATCTATTGCCCACATTTGCCATCACATTTCAATTATACTTAACTAAACCCACACTTACAAGCTCCCAGATACAAATACTTATAAAAGCACACACTATTGAAATCCCAGTGTTTCCAAAGTATGCATGCATTCAATAAATTCTTTCATGTACCTGTAGATGTTACAGGGAAAATTTTAGCTGACAGAAGGAGAARGCTATCTGAAGTTTGGCTCTTTGGAAARCAAGATTTATTGATTTATATTTTTAAAAACTCTCTAGATGATGAGTAATTGAAATATTATTTTCTTCCTATTAATGAGACAGGAGCAAAGTCTAAATTGCTCCTTGCAAACAACAATGGTTTTCTCAATTGCAGGCAAATATGTTGAGGATTGGGATTTCCTTATTCTGCGTGAATGTTACAATTTGGCTCTCGATCTATGATCATTTTTAAGTATAATTACAGGAGTCAATGCAAATTGACATGACATTATATTTGTGAATGTATTGTGAGCCTAAATGTCCTAATACATAATTTCATTGCTGGTGCTGCAGATCTTAAGAACAGAGCTTGTGAGGTGAGAAAAACATATTTTAGAATTATTTGTGAAATGAGATTCCCACTTGAAGTAGTGTCACCTGCTGCTGACATTAATGTTTGGTGAACTACCCATAATTTAAAATCTGAGGTTTCAGGATGAAAATTTGCAGCCAAGGAGCTCATTGTAAGGGCTCTCTTTTTCAGGATCCYTTTCTTATTTTCAGTTTCTTTAAGTAGAGTATATCAACCTTACCACCCACATCTGCAGTTGTAAATTCACTGACTGTAGAGGCAGGAGATGAGTAGATGAAGAATAATGCAAATGAAATAAGAGTCTATTTTCTGAGCTGTATTTTCACCTCTTCTGCAGAGTCACCCTGCAAAACCTTATTCTGCATTGCTGCAACCTCAGCCAAGGTCACTTTCAGCTCCATATTCTTTTCAGGCTAATCTGCTTGTCTGAAGAAAGAATTTGTRAAGCTTAAACTTTCTAAGTCTCACAGTGATCTTTTAGATCTTCTTATCAGTCCTAAAAATCAGTAACTCATTCTTTTCCATAAAAATATCAGGAAAATAGTTTCACTTTGGGTCTGGTTGGTGCTGATGGTGTTGTTTGGGGAAGAGTAGTTTCTCTTTTTTATATAGAAAACTGATAGATCCAGTAATACAATGCTAAAAGTGTGAGCCTAAACCTTCCTATTAAAGCTCAAAGAATACATCTGGTGTTCCTGCTTTTTAATAGGAAATTATCTTCTTGTTTTGAAATATASTGTGTCACTTAAAAGAAGTATCTCAGTTATCAACAACTACCAATAAATGTGTCCTTTCTTTGAGGCTTTCTTTTATCATAAATCCTCCATGGCAAAAAGTATTTTTTACAGCAGAAATTCTGTTACTAAAGAAGCTGCAAATGAGACTGGAAGACAGTTTATCTTAACTTTTCCTCATTTTTTTTCTACTCCTTGTTCTCTGCAAAACTGATGAAGAAGAGACCTGTGTTGTTGCACCAGCACTGAGATAATCTGTGATATCGGATAAAATATGGCTTCTTGCTCTTGTTTTATGCCCATTGGTACAGCACACCTCTTCAGAACACMTTTTTCTTATAAAAGAAGTTGCAATATGGAGTATTTTATGAAAAACATTAATAGTATTCAAATGATAAGCATTTTGRTAAAGAAACATTTGAATGAGTTTGGGTCACTTTGTAATCTAAGAAAAATCTTTAAATAAACTTTTTAAGCAATGATGTGCAACTTTGATTTCCCATCAATTTCCTTCTTCTACATTTCTTGATTGCTCTTTTACTTCAGAGATCGATGTTTCCATCCACATTCATTATGCCTTCCCTGTAAGTCATTATTACAGTTTCTCATATGTGCTCAAATTCTTCATTTGCATTCTTAAGCGTGTAACAAAAGCTTAGAGACACTGAGATGCCCCTTGCWGCAAATCATAGAAACAACCGGACTTGACCAGAAATTCTGAATTGRCATTACCCCATCGAATTTTAAAACATTCCCAGAAAAACYTCAGTCTTTTATMACKCTCTATTATTTTAAAARGATGGCATTTATAGAAGACAYTCTAAGAATATKCAAAGCTAATTTGAGGCTAGTTTTATATACTRTAAGTGAAAAACTTATTTCCAAGTCCTGCAATGTTTGAAGTCTTTTTCATGGGTAACTTGTATTTTCTCAGCCTCTGTCTGGAAAGATGTTTAGTTCACWGTTCTCACAGGTAATGAGACAATTGTGGAGGGATGCATTTGGCACTGGAAGCAAGGGCCTGTTTCCCTGTCACTACCTTTGTCTTTCACCTTACTTATCCTGAGAAACACAAAAATAGTGCAAGTTACATAAAGCATGTATGAATGTACTGTCCCTTTTTCATAATTASTGGTTCTGGGAAAAGGAGGCTTCATGCTGATACAATATTTCATGGTAACTAAAAAAAGAATTTTCATCTCTTTACATTTACACCTAGAGAAATGTTATTAGTTCTGTATTACCTGATGATTTTCAATATTTCATTTAATTTCATGAGGAAGAAAGGCCTGAGTCAATCCAAAGAGCCCAGTTATTAACAGATCRAAATTCTACATTGATTACTCTTATGGATTTTTCTAGGTTTTTTCTGCTGTAACACAATGCCTCTGTTCAGTGCTTCAGATTCTTCAGGATGCTACAGACTTCTAATAAAGAATGACTGTTTAATTTAAAAAATTATTCATACAGCTCTAATTGCCTTCTACCTTTGCTGTTGCCGAAGCCAAGTAAATGATCAGGTGGCCTTCCACTTCATTAACTAATCTCAGCTGGCAGCACTGCCTGAGCCAGTGGTGATTTAAAGAATCACGAGGCATTGCCCAATGCTCTCACAAACTCCACACTTCCCAGGTGTTCATTGATCAAATGCATTGTGTAGGTGGAAGGGGCACGCTAGCAGTTGCTCTGTTGCTCCCTCCATTGTTTCTTTCTCAGAAATGTTAACAAATGCAGCATTAATAGTTCCAGTATGCATTTTGAGTGTGTTTACACACTGAGAGATACTTTTGCACCTGCAACAGAATGGGCTGAGTAGAGCTGGCTCAAAAGTCTGTCATGTTGCCTGTCTGCCTGGTATGATATGCTAGGAGGTAACAGGAAATAAGGAATTAAATACTCCTACAGAGCAGGAAAAGAAGCCAGGGAGTGTGATAGTCCTGAAAAGATCTTTGAAAGCTACTTAGAGTCTGGCAGCACATAAATTAGAAGTGGAAAATCAGGCTAGACCTGATGTCTACTTTGTTATCTAAAGCCTTTCATTATCTATAGCTTGTATTTCCCTGGAAGCTGAAGGAGTATCAGTGCCTCGACTGCTAAAGTGGCAAATCTGAGAGTCCCCACATAAATTAAGAGAAGACCCATGATTCTAACCATGCCTTGAAAAGCAGGAGATGAGAGACCACATTCTGGAACCATGCAGGAATGGAAATTAGAAGGAAATTGTTCCTCTTCAATATTTAAGCCATGCCACATAGGACTCTGCTTGTCTTACACACATCTGTTTACCACCTGGTAAACTGGTGGTGTATATTTAATATACRTAATTCTTTAATATATAATTTCATGGCAGCTGATTTCCTGTTTTGCAAAGATTTTACAAGGCCTTTCTAATCAATTATTTCCTTCCATTTGCATTTTTACAATCTTCTTTCCAAAGAAGGAACATACTTTTACATGAAAGTCAGAAGCCACTGCAGTAACTAAAGCAAGAATCAGAAAAATGAATACCACTTCCTTTATATAAGGAACAAGTTTGTTACATATCAGCAGAAGCAACAGACAGAATTCCTACATAAGAAATAACCCCCTCTAATTTGAGAATTGTGGCACACATCTCATGATGGAAAACTTAAATTACTTTAACCACACATAATGGCAAGTGATTCATTGTTGGGATAAGCTCTCTCTTGCGTGCCTTGTAAATGAAAAGTGTGTTACCATMTTGGAGATGGCATCACATCTAGTGATGTTGATGATAACAATTAGTTTTAGTGGCTTGTATTCCACCACATGCAAAATAMCTTTAAAATAGCTCCTTCAGTACTATTGCAACATAGATGAGTTCAGATGCTTCTTAACACAATGTGATTAARTATCTAGAAAGGAAGTTCAAAATTCTGCTATTAGAAGAATTAGATAATATTACACCTACAGCATTGTGTTGCTCTTGTACTATTAATAGGAAATGTCCTCTTTCTGGGAAATATGAAAAAGAAGCATTTAACAYTAGCTGGTACTACATGCAAGAGAGGTTGTACATATTTTATTCCTAAGTTTTCTGTATGTCCTAGTATTTTTATGTTTCCAGCTTTTTGCATTTGGTGTCCTTGTTTATAATTAGAAAAGTATCCTCAGTATTTTTCAGATGTAGCTTTAAAACAGTCTCAGAGACATTGCAATCACTGGGAATCTTCTTTGAAACTTTTGTATCATCCTTATTTCCCCCCAAAAAAATAAAATCAGAGCTTCAGATTGATTGAGASGTGGTTTTCCTTAAACTGAAACACAGCTGGAGCTATGCTAGTGCTCTAGGTCACTGACAGAGCAAGCAAAAAGTGGAACKTAGGTTACCTGGAGAAAATTATRTGTAAGGAAYGYTTGCYTACCAGCAGGGCTGCAGGAGTAAGRGGGAAGRYCACAGAGGAAGGAYRGGATTTCTTTTTTATGTGTTGWTRCTCCTTRWAAGAGTAAATCTTCCAAAACCATGTTTATTAAATTGTGACGTTTGGGAAAGKGGATTAAACAAACATGTTTGTGATCTTTTTTCTAATTTAACAAGGAAGCCTGTAAAAAACACTTAAACTGTGTCTGTAATAAATAGCCTAACTGGCCTTACAACCTGCTTCACCTTACGTTTCCCATAAAACATGATAGCTGCCTTGGTCAAAGATAAGAATTAGCTGTAAAAATTTAAGTTTTTTTCCTTTGTCTGGCTGAGACTCAGAGTTTCCAAAGGATGCCAARAAAGAAAAAGGAGCAGCAAACTTACTTCTGGTTTTGTCCTTTATGTTTAGTCAAATGTGTATGAGCAGCAGCATGGTGTGCTGTGCTTTCAGAGTGTTCCTAGGAACCAGGACTGTGTTAGGTTAGGTGTTTAGGTTGTCAGACTCTGAGCCTTGCTGCTGCCTTGTGCCTGGGTGACACAACCAGGGCAAGGCTCTGTTTGTGGGGTTCACACTGCAGCCCCAGCACAGACCCAGCATACTCTGCCTTCGTTTGGCTCTTGTACTGCTCCTCTCATCTGCTTTGCTGGCAGCACATAAATGTTGTTAAAATCAAGCAATACCCCACTGACAGCAAAAATGAAAAACATCCACATTCAAACTCTCATGGCTTGTAAATGATGCCCATTTACAAGAGACAAAAACTTCAAAGATTCTTATAATACTTGTCTCCAGATAAATTTATTTCAGCCTGTTTCAGTTATAGTCAGAAAAAACTAACCACTTTGCCTAAAACTGTAAGTCACAACAAGAGCAGTGAAAAGCAACAAAATAGAAAGCTAAATGGAAAAAAGTTTTTAGCACCTTTGCCAAATCAGTGTACAAACTCTCAGGTATGGGAAAGCATTTTTTTGCTTCTCTGAAAGATGCTTTCAAGAAAGGACAGCAAGGAATTACTGGCATGAGTCACAATTTTGGTTGGAAGAGACAACAATTTGGGAGAAGGGGGATTTATCCTGAGTAGATCTTGGCAGAATAAATTACATCTGTGATACCAGTGACCTGCTTCCACACAAATATGAGGGGGGGAAATCACAGAAGTTTCCAGTCATTTTGAGAAACATATAACAGAAAAATACTGGAGATACTGGATAACACTGTATCTCCAAACAATGTAATGCTTGACAGAAAAATTTTGTAATTAAAAAAAAGGGCTATTTCGCCAGTAATACACCTTTACATTTAAGAAAAAATGCTCCTACAAGTTGGAAAGTTTGATAAATACTGCTGGTCCACAGCTCGTTTTTCCCCTTCTGAAAAAAAAGGGAATCAATGAAAGAGTATGTGACCCAGAAAAATGAAAAGTGTGTTCAAAGTTGGTTGCCACCTTTCCGAACAGAAACAGGACAGGCTTGTGTTTGGAAGCAAGGACAGTTCCTCTAAAAAACAATACTTCACAATACTGAGAAAGGCAGTAAAGCTGTCTTCACTGCCAGTAAAATTCTCTGACTGAACCAAAAATGGGTGAAATAGAAAGGCAGTTGGTTTTTATCTTTTTATTTTTTTTTTTTAACAATGATTGTGGAACAGATTTAATTAATAAATTTTAAATATGYTTATAGCATTTTTCTATGTGTCCTATTTTTCCTCATAAAAAAGCCACAGAACAAACAATGCTAATTAAATCTATTCAAATTTTTCCTAATTTTCACTTCTTATTAACATGATGTCATTTGCTTTGCTTGCACATGAGCATCTTCCTTTTCATCACCATCACATAAGGGCCCCCCAGAGCCTAAACAGCAGAAGGAATAWTCCTGATGGTGCTCATTTAAATTCAAAGCTCATTATATAGAATTGCTGCAATTGCTGCTACAATTTAAACTGCAGATCAAACTCTGCAGCACTTGCTTATTTAAGCTAAAATGTATTTGCTCACCTGAATGATCCTGTAGCACTAAGTAAGTGATCTGTCTCATTTAATTTTAGTTATCTGGAGGTGAGGTGGCAGACCCAAGCTATTCATTTCATTGCCTGAT